TCTCTCTCTCTCTCTCTCTCTCTCTCTCTCTGTCTTTCTCCTTCAGGTTCTTCTCCTTCTTCTTCTTCTTCCTCTTCTCCTTCTTCTCTCTCCCTCACCCCATGCTCAGAGAAAGGCCATGTGCACACACAGTGAGAAGACTCCTTCTGCAAACCAGGAAGACAGCCCTGATGGGAAACCAGCCCTGCCCCACCTTCATCATGGATTCACTTCCAGAACCAGTAGAAAAGAGGCTTCTGTTGTTGAAGCTGCCAGCCTGTGGACCCTGTGGCGGTCCCAGGAGGGGACTAGCACACCGGGGAAGCGCCTTCAGCACAGAGCTCGGAAAGTGAACCTCAGCCTGGGGAGCGGCAAACTTCCACGCATGGGGTCACCTACCCCGTGCCCACTGTGTGTCACCGGGTGTACCTGCATCTTCTAGTGTGAGTTTTAAACCCTCAGTGCATTCTGAAACTCATTCATTGGGTTAAAAGCAGCACTTTTAAGAGGAAATAAAATTATCAGTATCAGAGCATGTAGAGCACAGTTAGGTTGTGTGTTGCTTTTGCAAATTATTTAGGTGACATTACATATACAGTGGCACCTTGGTTCACGAACTTCATTCTTTCCATGATTCTGGTGGCAAACAGAGCTGGACAAGAACTGAATCAAAGCCAATGGTGAGGTTGACCTGATGGGGAAATTTGATTCAGTTCCTGGGCAGTTCGATTTGCAACCAGAACTGAGGAGAGAATTGAGTTTGTGAACTGATGCAGCACTGTATGTGCTATACTACACACAGAGTATAGAGAGTAAATATGTGTATATTAAGAGAGAGAGCAAGGTCCAGAGAAGAGCCTCTTCTTTTTTTTATTTTAAAAATAAAAGGAGGAAAATATTAACAGACAGACAACCTTTTACAAAATAGCAAAAGAACAGTACAGACAATACAGAGTTACAAACAAAGTGGTAGGAAATTAACAATGCTTGTTGTATTACATACTGATATCTTTAAAGTGGCTTCTCATGCAAACAGATAGAGACATGCAATATTGATCAACCAAGGACTCACTGACAGTTTCTTTCAGCAAAGAAATAGAAGACAGTAGAACAAGTATGTTAACTATCCTGTATATACAAACACAAAATTTCTCCTTCTTTCCCTGAGAAGAGCCTCTTAATCCATGGGACCTAGATATGTTTAGGGATCCAGAACTTTCAATTTTTTTTTTTTTTTTTTTTTTTTTGTGGTACCAGGAATTGAACTTGGGACCTTGCACTTGCCAGGCAGGCACTTATGTCACTAAGCTGTATCCCTGGCCCCCAGAACTTTTAATCATTTAAAAATACTTTTCAAATGTTTATTTTAGTGAACACATACTAATTGTATTTATCAATTACAGTGTGATAGTTCAAAGAAAGTTCTACGTTATTTCCTCAAACATTTGTCATTTCTTTGTCTTGAGAATATTCAAAATTTTTTCCACTATGTACTGTGATAGAGACAATTAAAAAGAATTTTCAAGTCCCTTAGAAAGAAAACACAGAGCACACGTGGTACTACTTGCTAATAATGATAATCAAACCCATTCATGTGTTGACATCGAAACAAATGAAGCTTCACCTTACAGGTGGTAAATAGTGTAAAGGCTGTAAGTGGTCTCAGGTCAGCAGAGGGCAGAGTTACTGCCTGAGTCACCCAGAAAGTGTGTGTGTGCAGGACAGGAGGTAACGGAAATACAGGCGGGGGCTGGGTACCAGTGTATATTCCTGTGTGCTGCTGAGACATGATATAAAATGTCTGCACTGCGTCCTCACAGGAGAGACATTCTTCTTACTTCATGAACAAACTGAGACCCAGCCAGGACAAGCGCTGCCCAAAGCCAGGAAGAGGAAAGCTCATCATTTAAACCCAAGTTTAACTGGTCAATTTTTTGTAACCCTGAGAAGATTCGTGTTTGTAAATTTTCCTATAACTTAAGCAATCCACTTTAGAATTTACTGGTTAGATTTTTTTAAATATATAAAGGTTTGAAGCTATGCACTACTGGGTAAAACTGTGACGCAAGCAGAATCCTTGTGCTCTGAGCCTGGCAGTGGAGGGGATTGTTCAGGTGGGCGGGGATGGGGTTGGGCTGGAGTCTCCACTCTGACCCTTGTGATCTTGGGACAAGGCTGAGAGGCTGCCTCTGTGAAAGCACTGACTCCTCCTGGGCCTGCACATGTCCAGCGGGAAACTACAGCAGGGTGGACACTTCCTCATCGCTTCGCACAAGCCCCGCCTGCCCAGTGCTGAGACAACGGCCACCAGACCCCCTGACACAGGCCGTGTGACTGTGCACACTGCAGGCCCCTTGTCTGTAGAATCCGGGGCTCAGCACAGCACCTCTGAGGCCGGGCTGACCACACAGGGCCTCGTGTCTTCCCTAGAGCTGCACCCGTCCAGGCTCCTTCCCTGCTTTCCACCATTACTTTGACCAGTTGGGGTTGAAAGGAGTAGCCGGCCCTGATTGGTCAGGAATCAGGCAGCTGGCCTGGGAGACAGTTTCTGCATGGGTCAGGAAACACACTTTCCAGTGGGATCCGGGCCCAGGCTGCCCACTGTTACACAAGGAAGGTTCATCCGGGAGCCCAGCAGCCGCAGCCCTGCTCAGGTCCAGTCTTCCCCCTCCCTTGTCCTTCGCCATGGCTCCTGATGGCACAGTTTGCTCTCAGGGCTGGAGAAGAAGTGAGGAGAGACTTGGTTCTAGGTGTGGAGTGGAGGGAAGAAAACAGGACTGAGGGAAGGAGGTGCTCGTTGGGGAGGAGCTTGTTTCCTTTCCCCTTAGATTTTCCTTTTGTGAGAGCTCATTGGAAGCAGCTCAGTGTGGAAGCAGTTGCACCTGGTGAGCAGGTGCCTGTCATGGTAGGGCAGGGCAGGGCAGGGCAGGGCAGGTGCCAGACACAGCTCCGTGGGTGAAGCAGGGTTTTGGGAGTGGGCAAAAAAATAACAGAGTTCCAGGAGGGGAGAGACCCACACTCGAGGAGCTTACCCCACTATAGCTGAGCCTCACAGTACCCTGCAGGACACTGTTCTCTGGTGATGGGGTTGGGGAGGGGCTCCAAGTCACACAGGTGTGAGGTTGCAAAGGTCTCACTGGGCTCCAGTGCAGGGCCACTCTGGGTCACTCTTCCTCCTGAGCCTCGAGGAGCAGTTGGGCCCCACAGGGCAGGGGCTGGAGGGAGCTGCCTCCTCGTGGGCAGTGCCCAGGGTCAGTGCCTGGACAGGCAGGAGGGGCCTCCCAAGACAGTCCCGTGCTCACTTGCGGCCCTAAGAGGGGACGAACTGAATACTGGGGTCCTGTCCCTGAGGAAAGTCAAAACAGATGTCACCTGGGTGTGCTCCATCCCCCAGGCTCTGGGCTGCTATTTAAAGGAAGACAGTCATCCTGCTCCAGTCCCTCTGCCCTCACCTCTGCCAGGAAGAGGCCTCAGGTCCTGTAAGGGCACAGAGAGGGTAATGGGGCGAGGACACAGCCATGCAGAACACATGGAACCCACACACAGAGGAGAGGGGAGAAGCCTCATTCTGCTAAGTACCTGGCTGGGAACACCCACGTTCACTAATGACGTTGGTTGGTGTTTATTGAGGGTCTGCAGTGTGCAGCCTCCTTCCCTGCACCTCAGTCAGCGCTCACACACTCCATGGGGTGAGGACAACTATGGCTCATTTTAAAGCTGTGGGAACCATCAGGAAGGTCAGGTAACGCGCCCAAGTTTTCACAGAAGTGCAGGGGCCAGGACTTGAACTCAGTACTCTCAGGTCCAAATCCCATGTTTTGAAGACTACACTCTACTTCCTAAAATACACGAAATATGTACTCATGCATGTGTGTTTATTGTCAGTGACGCTTCTCATCCCAAATCCATATCTGGTACCTGTGCCCATGGATCTGTCATAGTAAACTTCCCTGTTCCCTGTGGTGTCTGAGGGCTTCCCTTCCTTGCTTCCGTACTGCCGCAGCAGCTGAGCGACCTCTGCTGCCTGCCCTACGTGTTGCAGCTCACAGTGTTTTTCATCCTATATAAGAACAATGGTGCAGAGTATTCTCCTTCTGTAAACTTTGCCTCCATTATGTACCCGTGCTCTGTGGTTCCCTCCGCTGTTTTAAGGTGCCTCAATAAGCTCCTCTCCAACATCAAGGAGATGACAGCTCCACGCTCTTGGAATTCCCAGTTTCCATGAGCTGAATAATCCTCAACTTTATAA